ATTAACCTTAAATGTAAATGGGCTAAACGCCCCAATTAAAAGACACAGACTGGCAAATTGGATAAAGAGTCAAGACCCATCCATGTGCTGTATTCAGGAGAGCCATCTCATGTGCAGAAACACACATAGGCTCAAAATAAAGGGATGGAAGAAGATCTACCAAGCAAATGGAGAACAAAAAAAAGCAGGGGTTGCAATCCTAGTCTTTGATAAAACAGGCTTTAAACCAGCGAAGATCAAAAGAGACAAAGAAGGCTATTACATAATGGCAAAGGGATCAATTCAACAAGAAGAGCTAACTATCCCAAACATATATGCACACAATACAGGAGCACCCAGATTCATTAGGCAAGTCCTGAGACCTACAAAGAGACTTAGACTCCCACACAATAATAATGGGAGACTTTGACACCCTACTGTCAATATTAGACAGATCTCGTTGACAGATCAATGAGACAGAAGGTTAACAAGGATATCCAGGAATTGAACTCAGCTCTGTACCAAGCGGATCTAATAGATATCTTCAGAACTGTCCACCCCAAATCAACAGAATGTACATTCTTCTCAGCACCACATCACACTTATTCTAAAATTGACCACATAATTGGAAGTAAAGCACTCCTCAGCAAATGTAAAAGAACAGAAATCACAACAAACTGTCTCTCAGACCACAGTGCCATCAAATTAGAACTCAGGATTAAGAAACTCATTCAAAACCACACAACTATGTGGAAACTGAACAACCTGCTCCTGAATGACTACTGGGTAAACAATGAAATGAAGGCAGAAATAAAGATGTTCTTTGAAACCAATGAGAACAAAGATACAACATACTAGAATCTCTGGGACACATTTAAAGCAGTGTGTAGAGGGAAATTTATAGCACTAAATGCCCAAAAGAGAAAGCAGGGAAGATCTAAAATTGACACCCTAACATCACAATTAAAAGAACTAGAGAAGCGAAAGCAAATAAATTCAAAAGCTAGGAGAAGGCAAGAAATAACTAAAATCAGAGCAGAACTGAAGGAGACAGAGACACAAAAAACCCTTCAAAAAAATCAAAGAATCCAGGAGTTGGATTTTTTAAAAGATCAACAAAATTGATAGACTGCTAGCAAGACTAATAAAGAAGAAAAGAGAGAAGAATCAAATAGACCCAATAAAAATGATAAAGGGGACATCACCACCAATCCCACAGAAATACAAACTACCATCAGAGAATACTATAAGCACCTCTACCCAAATAAACCAGAAAATCTAGAAGAAATGGATAAATTCCTGGACACATACACCCTCCCAAGACTAAATAAGGAAGAAGTTGAATCTCTGAATAGACCAATAACAGGCTCTGAAATTGAGGCAATAATTAAGAGCCTACCAACAAAAGAAAGTCCAGGACCAGACGGATTCACAGCCGAATTCTACCAGAGGTACAAAGAGGAGCTGGTACCATCCTTTCTGAAACTATTCCAATTAATAGAAAAAGACGGAATCTTCCCTAACGCATTTTATGAGGCCAGCATCATCCTGATACCAAAGCCTGGCAGAGACACAACAAAAAAAACGAGAATTTGAGACCAATATCCCTGATGAACATCGTTGCGAAAATCCTCAATAAAATACTGGCAAACCAAATCCAGCAGCACATCAAAAAGCTTATCCACCATGATCAAGTCAGCTTCATCCCTGAGATGCAAGGCTAGTTCAACATATGCAAATCAATAAATGTAATCCATCACATAAACAGAACCAATGACAAAAACCACATGATTATCTCAATAGATGCAGAAAAAACCTTTGACAAAATTCAACAGCCCTTCATGCTAAAAACTCTCAATAAGCTAGGTATTGATGAGACATATCTCAAAATAATAAGAGCTATTTATGACAAACCCACAGCCAATATCAAACTGAATGGGCAAAAACTGGAAACATCCCCTTTGAAACCGGCACAAGACAAGGATGCCCTCTCTCACCACTCCTGTTCAACACAGTGTTGGAAGTTCTGGCCAGGGCAATCAGGCAAGAGAAAGAAGTAAAGGGTATTCAATTAGGAAAAGAGGAAGTCAAATTGTCCCTGTTTGCAGATGACATGATTGTATATTTAGAAAACCCCATCATCTCAGCCCAAAATCTCCTTAAGCTCATAAGGAACTTCAGCAAAGTCTCAGGATACAAAATCAATGTGCAAAAATCACAAGCATTCCTATACACCAATAACAGACAAACAGAGAGTCAAATCATGAGTGAACTCCCATTCACAATTGCTATAAAGAGAATAAAATACCTAGAAATCCAACTTACAAGGGATGTGAAGGACTCTTCAAGGAGAACTGCAAACCACTGCTCAACGAAATAAAAGAGGACACAAACAAATGGAAGAATATTCCATGCTCATGGATAGGAAGAATCAATATCATGAAAATGGCCATACTGCCCAAGGTAATTTATAGATTCAATGCCATCTCCATCAAGCTACCAATAACTTTCCTCAAAGAATTGGAAAAAATTACTTTAAAGTTCATATGGAACCATAAAAGACCCCGCGTTGCCAACACAATCCTAAGCAAAAAGAACAAAGTTGGAGACATCATGCTACCTGACTTCAAACAATACTACAAGGCTACAGTAACCAAAACAGCATGGTACTGGTATCAAAACAGATATATAGACCAACGGAACAGAACACAGGCCTCAAAAATAACACCACACATGTACAACCATCTGATCTCTGACAAACCTGACAAAAACAAGAAATGAGGAAAGGATTCCCTATTTAATAAATGGTGCTGGGAAAACTGGCTAGCAATATGTAGAAAGCTGAAACTGGATCCCTTCCTTACACCTTATATAAAAATTAATTCAAGATGGATTAAAGATTTAAATGTTAGACCTAAAACCGTAAAAACCCTAGAAGAAAACCTAGGCAATACCATTAAGGACACAGGCATGGGCGAGGACTTCATGACTAAAAATCCAAAAGCAACGGCAACAAAAGCCCAAATAGACAAATGGGATCTAATTAAACTAAAGAGTTTTTGCACAGCAAAAGAAACTACCATCAGAGTGAACAGGCAACCTACAGAATGGGAGAAAATTTTTGCAATCTATCCGTCTGACAAAGGGCTAATATCCAGAATCTACAAAGAACTTAAACAAATTTACAAGAAAAAAACAACCCCATCAAAAAGTGGAAAAAGGATATGAACAGACACTTCTCAAAATAAGACATTTATGCAGCCAACAGACATATCAAAAAATGCTCATCATCACTGGTCATCAGAGAAATGCAAATCAAAACCACAATGAGATACCATCTCACGGCAGTTAGAATGGCAATCATTAAAAAGTCAGGAAACAACAGATGCTGGAGAGGATGTGGAGAAATAGGAATGCTTTTACACTGTTGGTGGGAAAGTAAATTAGTTCAACCACTGTGGAAGACAGTGTGGCGATTCCTCAAGGATCTAGAACTAGAAATACCATTTGACCCAGTGATTCCATTACTGGGTATATATCCAAAAGATTATAAATGATGCTACTATAAAGACACATGCACATGTATGTTTACTGCAGCACTATTCACAATAGCAAAGACTTGGAACCAACCCAAATGTCCATCAATGATAGACTGAATTAAGAAAATATGGCACATATACACCATGGATTACTATGCAGCCATAAAAAAGATGAGTTCATGTCCTTTGCAGGGACATGGATGAAGTTGGAAACCATCATTCTCAGCAAACTATCACAAGGACAGAAAACCAAACACCGCATGTTCTCACTCATAGGTGTGAATTGAACAATAAGAACACTTGGACACAGGGCAGGAAACATCACACACCAGGGCCTGTCGGGGGGTGGGGGGTCTGGGGGAGGGATAGCATTAGGAGAAATACCTAACGTAAATGACGAGTGTATGGGTGCAGCAAACCAAGATGGCACATGCGTACCTATGTAATAAATGTGCATGTTATGCACATGTACCCTAGAACTTAAAGTATAATAATAATAATAAAAAGAAAACCTAAAACAAAAAAAGTCAGGGAGGACTATTCCTCAAAAATATTCATATTGTACAGTTGATTGAATAAAGAAAATCTGGTATATAGACATCATGGAATATACTATACAACCATACAAAAGAATGAAACCATATCCTTTGCAGCAACATGGATGGAGCTGGAGGCCATTATCCTAAGTGAAATAACTCAGAAACAGAAAATCAAATACTGCATGGGAGCTAAACAATGGGTACACATGGACATTAAGATGAAAATAATAGACACTTGGGACTTCAAAATAGGGGAGATTACTAGGGGTGTAAGGGATAAAAAATTGCCTATTGGGTACAATGTTCATTATTTGGTTGATGGGTTCACTGGAAACCCAAACCTCACTATTATGCAATATATGCAGGCAACAAACCTGCACATGTATCCCCTAAAATAAAAATTAAAATGTCAATGTTGTAAAAGACAAAGAAATGTTCTAGGTTAAAGGAAACTAAGGAGACATTGCAAATAAATCCAATACCTGACCCTAGACTGGAGTCTATGATGGGGGACAAGGATGTGTGGCACACAATGATGTTCTATAGGAAATTATTAGGTCAAAATTGATGAAACTGTAATATGGATTGTAGATTAGGTAAAAGTATTACATCAATGGAAATGTATGAAATTGATAACTTTACTATGGATATGAATGAATAGCCTCTTATGTAAAAGACTATTCCTACTCCATACAGATATCTGAGATTATGTATATACACACACACATATATATGAGATATACATGTGTGTATGAGATATATACATCCCCTTTGAGAGGAAAAGTAGACACCATAACTATGCCAGGACAACAGGTGCAAACCAGGACAGTCCTAGGCAAATCACACCTTGAGTCATCGGTGTCCTTTGCTAGGACGGTTTTGGTGGTGTACTGGGTGCAAAGCCCAGTGTGTGTGGGTTCAGGAGAGAATGGAAGGAGGGAAAGTGAAAATAGTGCATATGAACAACTGTTTCAAGAGGGCTTCTTAATGAAAAAAAAATGAGAGAAGTTGGCAGAGGCAGGAGGCAAAAGTGAGGTCCAGAGAGGGACTTTTTAAGACAGGAGAACTAGGAATGTGTGTGTGACAGGGAGGAACTGAAGTCAGGAGCATTATGGTTATTCCAGATCTCTACCTGAATGCCAAAGGAGGTACAGTGTCCTACTTTGAGTGGGTGAAGAATCTAAATCATGTCAGATATGGCTGTTTGACCTTCAAATATGAAAGGGATTCTAATGACCACTTGCTCATGTCTGTTCAAGAGAATTTAGCAAGAACGTTTGGAAAGCACAGTGGAACTATTCTCATTATACCCACAGCAGAGTTCCAAGACAGGATATCAGGTGCATCAGAGAAAGACACCATGCACACCGACTTGGTGTACACAATGGAGAGTTCTGCCAGACAAATTATGTGCATAGCCATGAAGTTTAACCTGGGATTGGACATGAGAACCACCGTCTATGTCAACGCCATTAAGAAAGTCTTCAAAGTGTACAATGAAGCCAGTGTGACCTTCACGTAGATGGCTCGTGAGTGACTTCCTTGCTACCCTCTTCACCTGTAACTTCTGCAGACCTACCACTGGTTGACACATTGCCACAGAAATCCCCTTCTCTCTTGACTCATTAGATAATGGACACCATTCTTAACAAATCGATCCAAATCAGCCCCCTAAGGAGAAAGAAATTAAGGCTAGTGGTTCATGTACAAGCTGATGGGTGTGAAAGTAGAAATCACCGACACTGGAGAGAGAAACACGTAGGTGTTTTGCCTCTACATAAAAAGTCTCTTTCATCTGGCTGTGCAGCCTTGCTCTGTGGCTCTTCCCAACACAGTCAGCAACTGTTGCCAGGCAAGGCACAGTCAAGAGCAATCAGATGCTTACTTCTTTTGCTCTGGACAAGACTGGGACATGCTGTAACTTTTAAAATATTTAGAAGTAGGTGTGTAGCATTTTCAGAAGGTGGCATGGTCCTCACATGAGTTATTGAAGCAAAATAACTCAATTTTATAGGATGCAAACAAAAATAAAAGCTGTTTCTGCTTATTAATTTTATTCTTTTGGAAAACAATAAGTAATGCTGCTGTAATAAAATTGCTTTTAATCTCTTAACAAGCCTAAACTTGATTCAAGCAGTGAATGCCTATAAACATAATAAATTTTAAAAGCTAGTATTTTTATATAATAAAAGAGTATCATTTAGAGCTTATTAGCCATGTATTATTATCCAGCAAAAATAACAAGCCCTATGGAGAATTAAATTATCTTCATACCTACAAAAATGATGGAGGCTATTTCTGTGAAGATTGTCGGAGTTTGCTGACTATAATTATGACACACAGTCCAAAGAATGCAGTAACCTCCTTATAATGTTAACAAATTGTTCTCTTTTGAAGGTCTATGGTTGACTAATTGAACAATAATTCAAGTAGAATGTTCCAGAAAAAAAAAAAAACCCTTGGGCTCCCTGTTTGGAGATTAGCTGGCCCTGAGCATTGCTAATGGCCTCTACTCAGCCTGATTTTGTGTCCTCTTCTTTTAGAGTCTTTACATTCTGCACTCAGCTTCACAAACAATGGGTTGAAAACAACCTTGGGTTGAGTGTTTTGTTTGGGAATTATTTGGCCAGGTCCTTTTGAACAGTAGTATTCCAGTCAAATGCTAGATAATAATACACGCAAAAATTAGCTTTAAAAAAACCTATAATGCCCTTTCAGAAATTTCTACTACTTTGTAACTGCATGACTTAACCTGGTAATAAAAGCAGTTATTAAAAGTCTACCTTACAAAAAAAATCTTCTCATCTCTGTAAATCAACAGGGATGGAAAACAAACCTATACTGCTACCCAAAAGACAAAATAATTTACAGTATAGTAAAAGTGGCATTTTAAATGGGGAAAAGGTACATTATTGAATGAATGATGTCAGAACAATTCAGCACATGAAAAAATAAAGTGACAACACTACAAATTCCAGACTGATCAAATATTTAAGTTGAAAAGCTTATCCAAGAAAGTACTCCAATAAACCACGCAATAGTTTTGTTTTGTAACCTCAGAAAAGGAAAGTCCTTTCTAAGCATAACATGAAAACCTAAACTATAAGAACATTTTGTGGCCAGGTGCTATGGCTCACGCCTGTAATTCCAGCACTTTGGGAGGCTGAGGTGTGTGGCTCACGAAGTCAAGAGATCGAGACCATCCTGGTCAACATGGTGAAACCCTGTCTCTATGAAAAATACAAAAAAAAAATTATCCAGGTGTGGTGGTTAGAGCCTGTAGTCCCAGCTACTCGGGAGGCTAAGGCAAGAGAATTGCTTGAACCGGGAGGCGGAGGTTGCAGTGAGCCGAGATCTCACAAGTGCACTCCAGCCTGGCAACAGAGTGAGACTCCATCTCAAAAAAAAAAAAAAAGAATATTAAAAGAACATTTTGCATGGCAAAAACCATCATAAGCAGCAAAGTTGAAAGACAAATGATACACGGAAAAACAATATTTGTAACTCATATCTCAGACAAAATGTAAACTAACTTAATATATAAAGAGCTCCTGCCAACCAATTAGAAAAACAACAACATCATAGAAAATTGGGTAAAGTATAAGGAGACAATTCACAGAGAAGAAATCAGATGAAAAGTTACTCAATATTACCCATAATAGGAGAAATGCAAAATACAAGTAAAATAAGTTATGTTTTGCCTTGTTTTATCCATCAAATTATCAGTAACAAAAAGACTGGCGGGGTGCCATGGCTCACACCTGTAGTCCCAGCACTTTGGGATGCCTAGAAGTATGGATCTCTTGAGGTCGGTCAGGAGTTTAAGACTAGCCTGGCCAACATGGTGGAACCCCTTCTCTACTAAAAATATAAAATGAGGCATGGTAACGCACGCTTGTAATCCCAGCTACTCAGGAGACTGAGGCAGAAGAATCACTTGAACCCAGGAGGCGAAGGTTGCAGTGAGCTGAGATCGCACCATTGCATTCCAGCCTGGGCGACAAGAGTGAAACTCTGCCTCAAAAAAAAAAAAAGACTGATAATATAGTTTGTTGGTATATGAGAAAAGTGCACTCTTGCACATTACTCATTGAAATGCAAATTAATTGAACTTGTAATTGATCTTAAAATATTTATTTATATTGCATTTTAAAGCTTTCTTTTTTGGCTGGGTGCAGTGGCTCACGCCTGTAATCCCAATACTTTGGGAGGCCAAGGCAGGTGGATCACTTGAGGTCAGGAGTTCAAAACTAGCCTGGCCCATATGGTGAAACCCCATCTCTACTAAAAATACAAAAATTAGCCAGGTGTTGTGGTGGTCGCCTGTAATTCCAGCTACTTGGGAGGGTGAGGCAGGAGAGTTGCTTGAACTGCGGAGGTGAAGGTTGCAGTGAGCCAAGATCATGCCACTGCACTCCAGCCTAGGTGACAGGGTGAGACTCCATCTCAAAAAAAAAAAAAAAAAAAAATTAAAGCTCGCTTTTTAGGTAATGTCTCACTATTCAAGCATTTGGTTTACCGTTGACCCTTGAATAATAACAGGTTTGAACTGCAAGGATCCACTTACACACAGATTTTTCTCCCACCTCCACCACCCCTGACACTAATGCCTCCTCTTCTTGCTCCTCAATTTTCTTAACATTTTTTTCTCTAGCTTACTTTATCATAATAATCTAGTATATAATACACATAAAAAATACGTGTTAATTGGCCATTATATTATCAGTAAGGCTTCCAGTCAAAAGTAGGCTAATTACTAGAAAAGTTTTTGGTAAACCAATATACCTGAATTTTTGACTGCATAGGGGGTTGGCATCCCTAACACCCCACCTTGTTCAAGGGTCAACTGTATTTATATTTATATTTCTTTTTTTATGTAAAGAAAGGGTCTCATTCTGTCACCCAGGCTAGAGCGCAGTGGTGTGATCGTGGCTCACTGCAGCCTCAACTTCCTGGGCTCAAGCGATCCTCCCATCTCAGCCTCTTGAGTAGCTGGGACTATGGGCATGAGGCACTATGCCCAGCCTGTGTTTATATTGTAAAGAATAAATAAACAGGAAAATTTACTAACTTTTCCCCAGCTGAGTACACTTAATGAATGAATTTTTCAATTCTGAATCATCACTATCACTTGGAGAGAGCATACACTAATTTCATGTTCATAACCTTTTGAATGAGAAATTGATCTCTTGAAAACTGAATTTATACTAGCCTTAACAGTCTCACACACCAATGTGTCTTATTTTTCTCCTATTAGGCCTGCCCTCTATTCCCCTCACCCTCATACACACATAACAGAAACCTGAATCTTCAGATATCTTTAACCCATCAATGGCCACGTCACATCTCCACAGGAACCTCACTAGATTCTCCAGATCTCACCTCAGACTCTACCGAGAAATCAAGGTGGTGCTTTTTGTTGTTTCTTGTTTTTTTATTTTGTCTTTGGATCGTTAGAGGTATCGAGAGCCTTTAGCTCAAAGCTGGTCCCAGCTGCTCCACTAGATGTCACTGTCTTGTAAATTAATAGTGCTTTACATACAAACTCCATCCATGACATGGCACTGAAGGGACACCAGGCTAGTTCCAAAGAGCAAAGTATTAGTCTGTGTTATGCACACGTCCACTCTTAGGGGAGGGATAGGAAGAGGCAGGATGTCAGAAGTCTGGCAGGAAGGAAGGGCTCTGAACATTGAAAGAATGCTGGGGATGGGAATCGGAGCTGATCATGCCATGTGTGGTGAAAATGTACCTGAATGAGGAAGGGAGCGAGACAGGCAAAGACCCTGAAGGAAGGGCATGCCAGGAAGAGGAACAGCAGGTGCAAAGACTCAGAGGCTGAGCGAGCCAGAACCCGGTCGGGAGGAGGCTACAAAGACAGGCCTCGGGGGGACTTGCAGGGCATGGTAAAGTGTGCACATTTCATTCTGAACGAAACGCGAAAACTTTGGAAGAATGTGATTTCTGACTTTTCGCGGAAAAGCCCTCAAAATCTACCTAGATGTAATCACGAGGAAACACCAGACAAACCCAAACTTAGGAACTTTCTATAAAATAAGTGTCCTATATATTTGTAAATTATCAATGTCATAAAAGACAAAGAGAGGTTGCGAAACCATTTGAGAGTAGAGGAGATTAAATGACAACTAGATGCAAACTGTGGCTCTCAACTGGATTCTGGAGGGAAGGAAAAACAATGCTCTGGTGGGCATTATGCGGACAGTGGATAATATTTGAACATGAATTATAGATTAGATAAAAATCACGGAATTCATATGAAATTTCCTGGCTAGGCGTGGTGGCTCACACCTGTAATCCCAGCTCTTTGGGAAGCCAAGGCGGGCAGATCACCTGAGGTCAGGAGTTCAAAACCAGCCTGGTCAACATAGCGAAACTCCATCTCTACTAAAAATAGACAAATTAGCCAGGTGTGGTGGCAGATGCCTGTAATCTCAGCTACTCGGGAGGCTGAGGCAGGAGAATTGCCTTAACCTGGGAGGTGGAGGTTGCAGTGAGCCGAGATCATGCCATTAAACTCCAGCCTGAGCAACCAAGAGTGAAACTCCTTCTCAAAAAAACACTCTGAGATGGCAGG